GAATTCTGACTTTTTCCCCATATTAAATTGAAATAAAATTAAAAAATCCGTTAACTTTTTTTTTCTTTTTTCAGTGGCCCTAATCCTCTTCCGTAGTTAAGAGTTTAGTGGTCACATGACTGGTTTGTTTTCATCCGTAGTTTTTGGAGTTGAGCTCTAAAGCTGATCAGTGTAGGGCTAGAAATATACATACAATATACATAAGATGATGCTGTAAAAATACAGAATTAAAACTTTATTTTTTTATTTACTTCGTTTATTAAAAGTAGCGTCACAAATCAAAAGGATGTGTGAAAAATACCAGGTAAACATTTTCTTTCTAACCCGTTACAAATTTTGTAATAAAATACAAAAGATAAAACTGAGAAAATAAGTTGATAAAAATAAATACATGAATGAAAAAACAATAACTTATAAAATAAAAGAGGCTCAGTCGTCAGGCTGAGATATCATGAATCCACCTTAAAATAAGTTCATGAACCTTAAAGGAAGAAACACTTAAAACTTTTCCTTTCATTCGAAATCAACACATCTTTAAATAAATTACACAAACTCTGACTCAACTGCGTTGATCAGCTTCTCCACACAAACGAGGTATTTAATTTTGGGGGTTTTCCATCATTGCAATATCAGTAAAACATGACGTAGTGTTTTTAACCCTGTATCTGTGTCCTGTGTATTATACATATCAGCAGAGTTGCTGTTTGTGTTCCTCAGTGAGAGTACCTGGGAATAGAAACTGCTCCTTTTTTAGTAGAAAAAGGCTGCGTAGCAGCGCCATGAGCTTAAGAACAGTTTATGTCCAGGATGTGTGAGATCAGCAGAGATGCCAGTTTCACAGCCCAGCACAAAAACAGGAGCAATGTGTTCCTGTTCATAGTTAAAAAGAATGAGCTCAAAGTTCAGTTCACACAGATGAAAATGAACTAGTTCAGTTGTAGTTCACTATTTAAAAAAGTTCACAAGCCTATAAATGAACTAGATCAGGTTTATTTGGTAAATGAAGCCACAATCCTCCACTATAGCACATCGTATTTCCTCCTTTAAATGTGTGATCATAATGCAGCAGTAGCCATTCAAAACTTGATGGATCCATAACTGGTCCCCTAAGATTCCTTTTTTAAACATCAATCTTTCTACTAAAATATTATTTGTGGACATTAAGATCTAAAGAGAAGCATCATCTCCTGGTCAGACCCTGTAATTCAGTGAAAGGTGGAGTCAGAGTAAAATAATATGCACGCCCAGGAGAAGGAGGAGGTGACTCCACCTCCATTTTGAATGGCTGTTACTGTATATAGAAAGAAATGGAAAATACTGGATGCAGTCAAGGTCTACTGGATGTACAGCGATAACCTGACTCCGCCAGATGGATTTGCTCCGCTGTCCATCTGGAAACCTTCCGTTGAAGTAATTTTGGGAAGGGGCGAAAATA